AAGAACACCATTTTGTACTTTTTCTTAGGGGAAACAAAGTAGTCTGAAGAGGAGTCTGTATGTATAAAATAAGTAAACAAACCAAAAATGAATGTTAAAAGAATTCATACATAATTTTCTCTGATAGAAGTTCTGACTGGGGAGCACCTATTCCCACAGGCAGATTTCATCTGAGATGCTACGTATAAGGCTATTCGTAGGGATGAGCATTATATCAGTTTTTCTGAACCTTTAACTCTTTTCTTGTTAGTAAATCTATCGACAACAAGCACGGCACAGGTCCAGGGAAATGGCTGGAGAATGATTTTAGGCTCAATAAAAGGTTAGACATACTATTGTTATCAGTAGTATCTGCCATTTACTTTCACCTGTACTCCTCATAAAAACTTAACATCTTTTAAAAAGACTGTCTGTACTATGTCTTCTAACCACCAATAGCCTGTGGCTTGCAGTTTACCAGTTCAGTGCTCTTGGCTTCAAGAAACAGAAAACCCTGACTCTTAACTTGCTTACACAATAAGGGAATGTGTTATTTCCTGTAATAGGATGTCCAGAGTTTGAGCAAGCTCCAGGCACAGTACAGCCATGTGGCTCAATGATGTCATCGAGGACCCAGGTTCTTTCTGTCTTTTCCCTCCCATCCTCTGTGAGTTGGCATCGGCCCAAACTGGTTCCCTTCATGGCTGAACACGGGTTGTGGCAGTGATGCAGGCGGGCTGGCTCTGAGCACCCAGAGGAAGGTCCTGTAGGACCAGCCAAGATGGTCCTTGGCTTCATGCAGGACAGAAATCAAACGTAAGCTGGAAAAAGTGAAAACTGAGTTTATTGAATAGTGTGAGTGACTGGTAAAGAATAGCAGATGGAGTCACGGGGAGACTCAGAAAGCAAAGGAGAATGAGTCTCGTCATCGCTTGGGGTTAGGGGTTTATATTGCAAAGGGGTCTAGGGTATATGTTCCTTTAAGAATCCAGGGTAGGGTCTGATCAAAGGCAGGTGACGGGTGAATAATAGGTGTTATAAATTACCAAAGGTAGGGGTATTGATGCCAGCATCAGCAGAGGTTTGTCTGAAGCTAATGTCCTGGAACGTGGTCAGGATCTCGCTCTTCTTAGGTGTTATCAGGTGTTTGGAGGCCTAGGGCAGAACTAGAAATGGTTAACTTTCTTGTTTCCTCCTTGAAATGGAAACATAGCTTCTTTGACTTATTCAGAAGCAAATACAGAACATGAGTAAATGGGGCTTAGCAGAAAAACAGCAGAGATGGAGCCTTTCTTTTCTTTTTTAGATTTTTATTTATTTATTTGATAGAGAGAGAGGGAACACAAGTAGGAGGAGTGGGAGAGGGAGAAGCAGGCTCCCCACAGAGCAGGGAGCCCGATGAGGGACTCGATCCCAGGACTCTGGGATCGTGACCTGAGCCGGAGGCAGATGCTTAATGACTGAACCACCCAGGTGCCCTAGTCGGAGCCTTTCTAAGATGGAATCCCTTCAGCTTCAACACCTCAGCAATTTTGGGTATTATGTACACGTACGATCGTACCTGAGGGAGAAAGTGAAACCATCACTTTCATTCTCATTGCAGCTGTGTTGCAATATAGTTCCCGTACCATGCAATTGTCCCCTTATTGTCTTCCTCGAGTCCTGCAGCTGTCACCCCAACCAACTGTAGCACATTTCATCCCCAAAACCAATCTCATCTCCATTAGCAATCATTTTCCATTTCTCCCCAACCATCCCCGACCCCAGCCCTGGGCAACCTCTACTCCACTCTCCATCTCTACGTATTTGCTAGTTCTGGATGTTTCGTGGAAACGGAATCACACAGTATGTCGTCTTTTGTGACTGGCTTATTTCACCAAGAATAACGACCATAATGTTTGTAAGGCTCATCGCCTTTCTTGAATTCCCCCCTTTTCAGGAGAATGAAACCTTTCCTGAGATCTCTCAGCAGCCTTGTCCTTAAGGCCCTTTATCTAAACAGAGCTACATGTTCCATTTTTAATCCAATCCCTGGCACTGGAGGAGGGATTACTCTGAGTATCGTAAACCCCCTCCTGGCAGTATACTCTTCACCCAGATTTCCCAAATATTACCCATAACCTATAAATTATTTACCATTTTCACATTTACTGCCCGCCTCTGATTTCTGGTCTCCTTCTTAAAAGGACGTTTGTGATTACATTGGACCCACCTGGATAATCCAGGATAATCTTCCCATCTCAAGAGCCTTAACTTAATCACCCCTGCAAAGTATTAATAGATTCCAGGGGTTAAGGACATCTTTAGGGGGTTATTATTCTCTCTACTACAGTGTTTGGTGTTCAGCACCACCACTTTTGGTGAAGGAGAGAAGGACACAAGCCTGGGCAGAGGGAAAAGCGGAGCTAGGTTGTATCCAACAGGCTCGGCTGACCCCATGAAGAGCTATGGGGCTCCCAGAGATGTTTTGCTTTGGGCCAAATGACCGAGCTTTTGAACTCCCTCCTAGATCAGTCCCTGGATGTGGGCCACCTCCAGAAGGGTGTGACATTGGTGAAGATGACTCATTGCATTGGAGGCTGTCCCTGGAGGGGACCACTCCCAGCAGCTGGGACAACAGGTGGTACATCTCCATGTACAACACTCGATGCTGGTAATAATGCCTGAAAAGAGCGTTTGAGAAGTTTCCATGTTTGAGCATCATTTGTGTCCTGTCCTTACACATTTACAAGCTACATGCTTAAGATGTGGCTTTCACTATAATTAATCCCTCATAGGATGGGAGTGAGGGGACAGTGTCCCTCTGGAAACGATTTGAGGGGACAATCGTTAGCTTAACCAAAGGGCCAACGGTAGCCTTACTACAGGGAAAATATTAATAGCATGAGTTATATAACTTCAAAACTAAATGGGATACTATGACAATGCATTAAAATGTCAGTAAATACGTGTCCTGTAATGGGTGCAGTTAACTCCTGGAAGATGAATTTATGACTAATTTATGACTTAGTCCTATTTTGATGCAGATATTTCCCATTTGTAGGTGACATGTGAGTCATAGGCCCCCCTCTTTCTATCATGCAATTTAAGGAGAGAACACAAGGTCTCTTTCAGAGACCTGCCATGCCCCGCCCCCCCACCCCACCCCCACCGCTCCACTCCTCTTTTGCATATGTAATTCTGAGGTTTTTATTCCGTGGAGATGTCTCATCTTTTCTAGTTTCATAATCCATGCAGAAACCTGGGAGTTGTTTCCAGATTTCTCTGCTGGGAACACAACAGGCTGACATCACCATCGCCTTTCACCACCGTACTGGTCACAGTGAATCGAAGATTTCGTATTAAAGAAAGAACGTAAACTAACAAATATTCCCCAACGCCCCCAGGAGCACTTTTCAATTAGGGATGGTCCTAAGTGAGGCCTGTGATGCTGTGCAAGTCTGTGTTTGCCCTCCATGGAGGGGCTGCCTCTCTCCAGGGGTGTGGTTTTCTCCCAGGTGGTAGAGACCTGCCGCCCTTCTTCATAGGCTTTCTGGGCATCTGCCTTGTGATGCCTGATCTTTCCAACAGCCCATGGCTCCAACTCAAAATCAAGTTTTCCTCTCCTAAGTTTTAAGAAAAAAACTTCTTTCTAGATTTTCTGATTGGAAAATCATGGTACGTTTATCCAAGCAGAACTTTTCTCGTTTTTGGAAACCGCTGTTTTGCCGAAGCCCTAAAGCTTAGTCTGCCCATTGGACCATCAGGCCTGTAGTCCCAGATTTTTCTAGCCTTACAGGGACGCAGTTCAGCAATTCATTTTCAAACGCAAATGTTCTAAATAGTTGGGAAAAGAGAAGTGAAAATAACTGTCTCCCATACCTTCAATGTTACAACATTTTATAGCTAGAAGCTGTGTTTTATGATGATCTTCTCACTCCCCTAATTTACAGACAGCCTCGGGAGAGAGGGCCAGCAAGTTCACATGATCTAGTGTGGCCCAGTAAGGATTAGAAGCTGGCAGAGTATACTTTACTGCACCACCTTTCTGGATGTTCTCATGTTTCCTAAAACGTACATGTAGCGGAAGACAGTCTGTATGTATCAAACGGGGAATTTAGAATGCAAGCTCTATGGAGGCAGGAACCATGGGAGGTGCGGTACACGAGCAATCCCCAGTGCCGAGCACATAGTCCACACTCCGCAAAGCTGGTTGATGGAAGGACGGAAGGAAGAAGGTAAGAAACCTGGATTGACTGGTTTAGTCCCCACACTAATGCGGGGGTGGGGGAGGGGAGAGGTCCTGGGGGTTGGAGGACGGAATTAGAACTGCTGCCTGGTGGTCAGCATGGGCCCTGGCTTCTCTGTAGCTCTCTTGCTCTCTAGAATTCACTCACTGCACCGCGGCCACAGAACCAGATCACATCATTCCCCCGGCTGAATCCCCTCAATGCCTTCCCATCCCAGTCGGTAGGACGTGCTAACTCCTTCCGGACCACGGCCTGTCTGCCCACCTCCCCAGCTTCACCGCCCAGTCAACTCCTTAGTCTCGCCCACCCTGCCCCCCCAACCTGCCAAACGGCCTCAGGCTTCAGAGCTTTTGCACGGGCTGTTCCCTCCGCCAGGCGCTCGCTTGCCCCGGGTCTTTGCCGGACCCGCAGCCTCTCCTTCACGTCAGTTGCCCCTTACACGGAAAGGCTAACTTAGACTGCCCGAGGCAGAAGAGTTCTCTCCCACTCGCTCCCTTTATATCGTGCGGTTCGTTGTTTGTTTCTTTCTTTCGTACTTAGGCTCTGAATTTGCCGGTTCATTTATTTTTCCGATTTAGTGCCAGGTCCTAAAACAGTGTTTGCCTCGGTAGGCTTCCCCTCAAATACTGTTTAGCGACAAGCGGATGGGTGAAGGGACGCACGATTGAATCAAGGAGCGAAGGAGAAACGCAGGCGGCGCCCAGGCGGCGGCCCCCGCGCGTCAGAAGGCGCAGCGGAACCCGAGGGCGGCGGCGCGGTTTCCCTTAAAAGCGCGGGGGAAGCTTGAGGGAGCACACAGGAAGGCAGGGCGGTGAGCGGGAGCGGCCTGGGTGAGTGGCGCGGGGCCGCGGCGGGGAGAGGAGCGCGGGGCGTTGGGATGGGGCTGGGCGGGGGGGCTCCGGGGCGCGGGATGGAGCCGCGGAACCCCCCGGGCCGGGGGGCGGGGAGACCCTCGGGGCCTGCGGGGGCCGGGCGTCCGGAGGGTGGCAGCCGGGGCCCCGCGGGATGGCGGGGTCCCGGCTGTCACTCTGCGAGTCCGCTGGCCTGGGTTCTGGGACCAGAGCTGTTGCTGCCTTGTGTGACCCTTACTCACTTTTCCCCTCTGGGCTTCGGCTCGTTTGCAAAACGGGGAGAATCGTTTTTGATCGATTGGTGGATTGATGGGTTCATTCATTCTAGGTGCTTTACTACGTTGTGTTTGCTAGAGATGCATAGACAGCGCCTACCCGTGAGGGGTTCACAGTCTAGTGAGAAAATCCCCACCTTACAGGTGAGGAGGGCCCAATACAATTAGAATTTGGGAGTTCTTTAAAAAAAACAAAACCCGGGCCCCCTGCTCGGCGGGAAGCCTGCTTCTCCCTCTCCCACTCCCCCTGCTTGTGTTCCCACTCTCGCTGTCTCTCTCTGTCAATTAAATAAATAAATAAAATCTTAAAAGTATATATATATAAAAACAAAACAAAAAAACAACAACCAAATAAAATACAGTAACAACCAACCAGCCGGCCAACCTGCTTTACAGAGGAGAGATGTTAATTTGAACATGTAAAATTTAGACCTTAACTGAGATTGAGGAATACGAATTTTGTTGGGTACTTAGAAGGAATGTGCATTGTTGGCTCATATATTGCCCATTGTCATGACAACTTAAGTCCAGAAAAATTTACAAAGTGCATTCACAGTTCTTTCAGATGTGATCTTTTTAGCCAAATGACTTAATCAGAGCAGGTGTTGTATCCTCATCTTACTAATGAGTAATGTGCATTCACAACCTCATCAGATGTGATTTTTACAGCCAGCTGAGTTAATCAGAGCAGGTGGTGTGTTCTCATTTGACAGGGAAAGAGAGGTAGAGGCCAAGTGACTTACCCAGGCTCTCACTGTCAGGAAGTGATAAAGCGACTCTGGAATCTAGGCCTCAGGATCCTTGCACCACTGCTCATTTCACACTAGATTGCCTGTGTGTTTCCACGTTTTTATGCACGAATCACTATTTTGTGACAAAAAGGGAGTTCACTGGATCATGGATGGCCTGTAAACAGACTTGTATTGACTCTCAGATTGTTCTCTAACAGTACTGGCGTTTTTCCCCCTTTCTGCCCTTGCCTTGGGTGATTTTTATGCGCACTCAAACTTGACCTCCTTCACACTGACGAGTCCTAAATCTGTATCTTCTACCCAGTTTCTCCTAGCTTCAAACTGCTAGATCCAGACACCCACTGATCATTTGAATGTCCGTCCCCTTGGATATCCCACAGGCATCTCAAACTCACTCTCTCAACTGCACATGCTACCTTTCTCCACAAACCTACGCTCCAAATCTAATGATCGAAAGCCTTATTCAGTTAGTTGCCTAAGTACAAACCTTTCTTGGTTTCTCCTCAAGTGAATGAAAAATTAGGTTTGACGAAGGGTGGACAGTCGTGAAGGAATATGCTAGGTTGAGTATGAGGAAATCAAAGTAAACGGGAAACTTAGCAAGGCCTGTTTATTAGGATTCTTCTTGGCATCCCTTTGTCTTCAGAGATGATGCTCCATTCTTCTGGGTTTAGGGAGGGCACTTCGTAGATGAGGGTTTTATGACCTGTTTCAGGGAAGAAGGGTCAGGTGGGGAGGTCAGAGTGACCTTCCTGCTTCTGCCATTGTCTCAACCTCCTTTAGCTTAAAATATTTAATATGCTAAGTTGCCATATTTTGGGGTAGTATGTCCTGAACCCTATGACATTCAGCAGGTAGCTGTTGAATGGCTATTATGTGCCAGATCTTATTTTAGGCACTGGGGATACAGCAGTGACCAGAACAAAGTCCTTACTCTTGTGGAGTTGACATTCCAGGGGGATAAGCTCATAAACAAATTAGCAAATAAGGATCACCAAATGATAAGTGCTGTGAAGAAAACAAACAGAATAGGGATCTGTATTGTCACTTGGTTTTTTAGTGAATTTACTATGCTTACAGGAGTGCATGAGTGTGTCTGTCTCCTTTCATTTTGTCATTAGTGAATATGACCATGTAAAAATTTACTGGTGTTAGAGGTGAATAGTGCTAATTCTTTGTAATTTGCATGTTTTCGATTACCTAGGAAGTTGAACTTTTTCACACAGCCGTTTGCATTTGCCCTTTGAATTTTCTGTGCACGTTCTCTGCTTATTTTCCTATTGAGGGGCTAGTGTTTTCCTCTGTTTTGAATAAGCGCTTTATAGTACTTATTTATCGTTGGGTCCTTTATATATAATAGACACATACTCTTAAACAGTGGTATAGTGAATGTAGGGAGAAAGAAAAAGCAGGAAGCCTGGAATTCCCTTCTCTGCACTTCTCCACTTCTAATACAGTGAGGTTCAGGTGAGCAGAGAGGGAAGAAGTGAGTTTAGGTAGAAGGAAGTGAGGAAAGAAGAAGGGCAGGTGAGCGGTGAGAAGGTGACGTTGATGAGCCTGGAAGGGAGCAGTTGGGAAGAGGTCAGAGAAGGGGCAAGAAGGAACAGGACCGAGGGAAGGAAAACACGACGGGTGGATGGAAGGCAGTCAGGGGGCCTCTACACGGTGAGCTGGGGTACTTACCTTTTTCTTTTTTTGCCTCTATTAACCTAGCAAATCCTTAGGAGAAGATGACCGTGTTCTTTAAAACGCTTAGAAATCACTGGAAGAAAACAACGGCTGGGATCTGCCTGCTGACATGGGGAGGCCATTGGCTGTACGGAAAACACTGGTAAATATCTAACAGCCCCCACTCCACCTTCACCTCCAACAACAAAACCATCTAAAAAAAGGGCCTAAGGTCAAGATCTTGCTCAGCTATGCTCATCTCTGTAAAACATTGTGGTGTAAAAATAAAATGTGTAAACTACAAAGACAAAGACTTCTTGTTGTAACCAGTTCTGGAAAACTCTAACTAGCAGTGCTATGAACACTGGCTGACAGTAGACATAGACTATAGTAGTGAGAAGCTGAGGAAATTGAGAGGGAAGTCCACTCCCACGTTCTTAGTAGACTGGGATTGACCTCCTATGTCTCCTTGGGATTTTATTCCTTCAGCTTCTTACTACAGTCTCTTCTTCTGTTATCACTGCTGCTGTTGGACCCTGACTGAAATTGCTTGTTCCAACCCCTGTGACTCTTCCACATTTATCCCATTAGCCTGGATTAATTTAAATGAGACAAAGACTTGCACACCTTTTGTTTGAATAAGGAATTCAACAGCCATGGTTTTATTAGCTGCCTCCAGGCACGCAGGGAGAGGAAAGTGCCAGAGCTCCCTTCTGGTTTAACATGGTAATAAGATTTTTGTATAAAAATTATATAAATAACTAAGAGAGCCAATTAAATTGCCTTCTTTTGGGGATTAAGGGTTACATCTTAAGTATTTAACAACACCCTGCCTCCATCCAGGTGTCTTAAATGACTGGTTTGTTAAACAGAAAACAGCCTTTGTAAAGGAAGTCTCCACAGTGGAAAGGAGATTCTCGTACTGATACTTTTGATGAACTGTCTCAGTTCATCTTTGCCCCTGTCAGAGATAATCTGAGGATGCAACATGGTGTCGAGTTTTTTGGCAGCTGTAGATTAAAGGGAACATGTCCCCCTTTTCCCCCCTAAGTATTCTCAAGGCTCAGTGCTTGAATTCTATTAGCTAGCGTGTAAAGAACAGACCTGAGAAGCTTAAAATTTGTATCATATATATAAAAAATAGGTGGAGAGAATGTTTTCACAAATGGAATATGAAACATATAATGTGTGCCTTTTCTCCCTTTTCTAACCACCCTTGAGTCCTTACACCTCCTGCCACGTGGGAACTAGGATTCCCTTTGCAGGAGCCCCCAGTCCAGGCCACAGCTAATGCAAGCAGGAAGAACCTCCCACACCCTGGGGATCACTGCCCATTTCTGCTACTAGGTGAAAATTTGCAGAAATAACCGTGTACCCTGTTCAGGATGTCTTGTAGATACCCTAATAATTAATTAGATCTGAAACAGCTTGAACAGAAATGCTGTCAGAGCCTGGAGGCCTCATTTTGCTCTGTCTCCACCCTTGACATTCAAGCGTACATTCAGAATGGAAACCCTTATTGTCCTGTTGCTCTTCCTTTTCTCAAATTTTTCTCCTGTGTTCTGTAGTACTATGTGGTCTTTTTGTTTTAAAATTGTAGTAGAAAACACATAACATAGTTTGTCACCTTAGCCATTTTTAAGTGTACAGTCAGGAGTGTTAAGTATATTCCCACATTGTTGTGCAACAGAGCTCTAGAATTTTTTCATCTTACAAAACTGAAACTCTATACCTTTTAAACACAACTCCCCATTTCCTCTCCCCGCCCCCAGCCCCTGGCAACCACCATTCCACTTTCTGTTTCTTTTAGTTTTACTACTTCAGGTACCTCGGATAAGTGGCATCATACAGTATTTGTCTTCTGTGACTGGCGTATTTTTCTTAGCATGATGTTCTTAAGGTTCATTAACGTTGTAGCGCATGGCAGGCTTTCCTTCTTTTTAAAGGCTGAATAATATTCTGTTATATGCATGTATATAACCACATTTTCTCCATCCATTCATTGTTGGTGAACGTTTGGGTTGCTTCCATCTCTTGGCTGTTTTGAGGAATGCTACTACAGTGAATATGGGTGTGCAGATATGTCTTCTAGATCTTGTTTTCAATTCTTTTGGGTATATACCCAGAAGTGGGATTGCTGGGTCACAGGGTAGTTCTAATTTTTTGAGGAAGCACTACACTGTTTTCCGTAGTGGCTGCACCATTTTACAATCCCTCCAACTGCAGGAGGCTTCCAGTTTCTCCACATCCTCACCACCACTTGTTATTTTGTTTTTGTTTTGTTTTGATGGTGGCCATTGTAATGGGTATGATACAGCATCTTCTGGTTTTGATTTGCATTTCCCTAATGATTAGTGATGTTGCACATCTTTTCAAATGTTTAGACACCATTTGTTTATCTTTGGAGAAATGTCTGTTCAAATCCTTTGCCCGTTTTTAAAAACCACGGTTCCTTGTGTTTTTGTTGTTGTTGTTTTTGTTAAATTGTAGGACTTCTTTAACCTATTATGAGATGGTTTGCATGATTTGCAGATATTTTCTCCCGTTCCATAGGTTGCCTTTTCACTCTGTTGATGATGTCCTTTGATGCCCAGAAGCTTTTAAGTTTGATGTAATCCCATTTGTCTATTTCTATTTTTGTTCCTAAGAAATCACTGCCAAATCCAATGTTATGAAGCTTTCCCCCTGTGTTTTCTTCTAGGAGTTTTATAGTTTTAGGTCTTATATTTAGGTCTCTAATCCATTTTGGCCCTTTCCCCATTGTGTGGTCTTGGTGTCCTTGTCTAAAATCAGTTGATCATAAATGTCAGGTATTTACTAAATCACTCGTTCTCTATTCTGTTGGTCTGTATGTTCATGCCAGTACCACCAGCTTTTAAGCTTTGTAATATGTTTTGAAATTAGGAAGTATGAGGCCTCCAACTTGGTTCTTTTTCAAGATTATTTTGGCTCATTGGGGTCCCTTGTGTTCCATATGAATTTAGGGTTTGTTTTTTTTTTTTTCCTGTTTCTGCAAAAAATGCCACTGAGATTTTTGATAGGGATTGCATTAAATCTGTGTCTCATTTGGGGTAGTTTGGACATTTTTGTGATGTTAAGTCTTCCATTCCACAAACGTGCCTTTATTGGTGTCTCTAAATTTAGCAGTGTTTTGTAGTTTTTAGTATATAAGTCCTTCACCTTCTTGGGTTAAGTTTATTCCAAAATACTTTATTTTGTGGTGCTATTGTAAATGGGATTATTTTCTTAATTTCCTTTGTGGATTGTTCGTTGTTAATGTATAAAAACAATGGATTTTTATGTGCTGATTTTGTATTCTGCAACTTTGCTAAATTTGTTCTAACAGTTTGTTGTTGTGTGGAATCTTTAGGTGTCATCCGCAAACAGAGATAATTTCTATTCCTTTCCAATTTAGAGGCCTTTGATTTCTTTATCTTGCCTAATTGCTCTGGCTAGGACTTCCAAAACCATGTTGAATAGAAGTGGTAAGATTTTGCCTTGTTCTTGATCTTTGAGAAAAAGCTTTGTTTCTAACTGTTGAGTATGGTGTCAGCTCTGGGCTTTACATATGTGGCCTTTGGTTATGTTCAGATAGTTTCTTTTAATATCTTTTCTCTTTTATCTGTACATCCCCAACCTTTCCGCATGACAGTCTTCATGTTCTTCTTTCATATTAATCTAGTTTCTTCCCTGAGGAAATCTTAACCTGCGGCTCTCTTGAATAGGAGCTGCCTTGGCCCTTCAAATGGGTTGTAAGGTGGGGTTGGCCTTCTCTTAACTCCTCAGTACCTATTCCAAACCATTAGTCTTCCATCTTCTTATAAACATCTCTTTTCCTTTGAGGCTCCTATCTGGCTATATCATATAACTGGAAACCTCCTAGCTTTCTGGGATCTCCTCTACTTTAGGATTCAGTGCCTGGTTTACCAGTGTCCCTTTCCCTCTGAGTCTTGTTGTCTTCCTGAGTGCCCTGAGTCTAGATGTGGATGACTCATGTAACAGCCTGTCCTTCACTTTCCCTGATTTCATCTACTCCCGGGACTTTTACTACTACTCCACACTCCTGCAGCTCCTTCTACCCTTGGTGGCTGAGAACCTTATCATCACTTGCCCCCATTCCACTTCTGACATCTGGAGCTCCGGTGTCCCAGTCTCTCATTTCAGTCTGCCATTATTCGTCTTCTGACCTTAGGCCTCTTTTTCAGTATTACCAAGACTCTTATCCCTTGGGCCCTCCAGTTCCTTCCAGATCTATCACTCTTCCCTGCTTTCTTCACTTTTTTTCCTATCCTAATTTCTCAATCCAACACATCAGACACTTCTCAGCTGCACTTTTCACATGTCCTCCCTGCCTTTTCAATCTCTCATTCCTCCTCCTCTTCACAGTTAAGCCATTTGAATAGGTTTTGTCTCTTTCCCAACCTCCTACTCATTCTCTGTCCTATCCCGTCTTTGTTAGAATTATTCTCACCAGTTTTATTTCTCATTCTTTTTGACAGCTCAGCTTTAGACATCGTTGACTGTCCTTGAAGTACCTTTTTTCCACTGGCTCCTGTTCTTCCTCCTCGATGTCTGGGTGTTCGTCGCTCTCATCGCGTGCTCCTCCCCTCCACTCATGCCCGAGGGAGGTGGCTGTCTAGGACTCTGCCACAGGCTGTCTTCTCACATTATGTCCTCTCCCTGTGTCATCTCCACTACTCACAGTGCCTGCAGTTTCCAGCTGTCGTAGGCAAATCCCAGATTCATTTCCATGAAGACCTCTTTGGAGCTCCAGACCTATATATGCGTTCACCTGCTTGTCTACTTGCACGCTTCACCAGTGCCTCACGCTCAGCAACTGAGAATCACCTCTTCCTTGCCGCACCTGCTCTTCTCCGTGATTGGTACCACTCACCATTTTCTAGCTTCCCAAACTAGAAATGTGAACATCATCCCCTGTTTGTCCTTGATCCTCCTTTCCCACATTCAGGCTGTGCATTCTAAGCGAATTTTGCCTCTCCTAAATCTCCGAATGTGTTTGATTTCTTCTGCCTGCTCCCCTTCAGCACCACCGTACCGTCATCCCTGGCCTGGGTTCTCACTAAATGTATCCTAACTGTTCTCTCCTCGCATCCGCTCTTGCCTGTTGCTTATCTGCTTTCCCCACCCCTGCCACAGTGCTCT